GCCAACAGTGTATTCTGGGGCCGAAACTATTTTAAAGACATAGTGCAGTAGCAGTATTCTGTGTACTGATAAGATATTTGTAGCTGCAGCCAAGAACAGTAATAGAATCTTCTTGCTTCTGTCATTCTCAAAAAAGACTATGTCTCATATTTCTTTCTTTCTTTGGGTGTGGAACTTTCTCAAGTTCCCTTCTTACTACTTATGCTGTCAATGTTCCTGCCACAGCAAAGTCTGTATAATGGACAAAATACCTTAAACTTAAATATGACCCTATCTAGCTTTGCTTCCTGCCAGGTACAAATCATAGTGAATCAATGGGCTGTCCTGGGCATAGTGTCAGTTCAGTGTCTCGGATGAGACTGCCTGGGGTGGAATCCCAGCTCTGCCATGCATTAGCTCCAGAACACTGTGCCAATCTTTTTTAGCTTCACTAAAGCTGGAAGGCCTCCACGTCAGACAGGACTTTTATTGGTTATCTATTGACCTGATGGGGTTGTTATGGGGACAAAAATGCACATAAAGTGTGTCCCATCGAGTTTGGCATACAAGAAGCTCTTACAGATCTCTATAATTAGGAAGATCTAGAAAACAAACTTTTAAAAAATGTTTCAAAAGATGGTATTCAATGAAAATATAGAATTCTTATAAATTAAATAGTAATATGCTGATCTTAGGATATAAATGCACTTACTGTAATTCATCACTATTAATACTAAACTGTAACAGAAAAAAAAGAGTTTTTCACATAAAATGCCTGTTCCTTTAATACTAAATAATCACAAAAACCTTTGAAGGGGAAGGCTACTAGCAATGTATTACTGAAGTCTTCAGCTAATGTTCTCTGAACTAATTTTTGGGATCATCGCTCAGTTTCCTTCACTTTGAAAAGAGGATACACTTCGTAGACAGGAAAATCAAAAATTTAAACGGAAAATTCAAACAAAATGCAAAGAACTTGAATAACACCGCAGTGTTTTTGTGTTATAACACATGACACCCTATGCACTGAAACATTATCCATAATAAACTACTCTTACTTATGTAACGTACCCCAAATTACATTTGGGAGAAATGCTACTCTGGCTCTGGTTCACCTACTTCCATTCTAATGTCGTAGTTCTGGCCAAGGACGCTCCGTATGAGCTCTTTGATGGTCTGGTCGGAGGCCAGCTGGGCCTCGGACTGCAGCGAGGCGATGATCTCCTCGATGGACGTGGGGACCACGCGGGCGGGCGGCAGCGCCTGCCAGGCGGCCTCCCGCGCGTCGCAGGGCGGCCAGCTCTCCCGCTCTCCCCGGGCTCTTAACCCCGCCGCTCCCGGCGCCTCGCGGGCCCGGCTCTCGCTCACGAAGCAGGTGCGGATCCTCACTCTCCTCCGCCCGCCGCCCGCCTCCGCGGAGCCGTCCCCTGCGGAGACCGAGCTGGCCTTTCCCTCTCCGGCCCCTGCGAGCGGAGCTGCCGCCTGGCTCTCCTCGCGCCCCCTGGCCAGGTCCAGGACCCGCCTGGGGCCCGCGGGCCGCGGGCTCTGCAAGCCCCTGCGCTTCGCCGGGGGCTCGGGCGGCGGCAGCAGGACCACGGGTCTGGCCGTGCCGAACCCCGAGGCGATGACTGGAGGCTTCTTCTGCGGCAGGTGCCGTAGGAACGCGGAGCTCCGAAAGTCAAAGTCCCGGGAGAGAAAAGGCCGGGTCTTGCCGGGGGCCGCCGCCTCACCCAGGCCCGAGGGACGCGGCGCGCCTCCGAGCACCTCCTGCAGGAGGGCGGCCGCGGACCCTCTCGGCGTCCGGGCTGCGGCACGGGAAAGGCGCGCGGGGTGGGCCGGGCCGGGGGCGTAGGGGCTGTGGACCCGGCCTTCACCTACACCCGGCTTGGAGGCCAACTTCTGCTTGAATCGGAGAAAATCCTTTTTAGTCTCCTGCCGGACCTTCTCGAGCTCTTTAAACATGTACGATTCCTCTTTGTATTTCAGGCCAAAGTGCTTCGGGATAGTGGACATCTTGACAAATTTGACCTGTAAAGTAAACCCCCAAGACAATCATATAAGTGGTGTGCGTATATACATAAATATAAAACAAAACTGGAATCAATAAAATACCAGCTCAGCAAAGCTTCTTACAGTGGAACCTCACTGTCTTCCCTGAGGCACAAGTGGGTAAAATTATCATGTAATTTTATATCCACCTATTGGCCCTTTCACAAGAACCATGAAAAATCTCTAAAGCAGTCATTTTTCTTGGCGTAAGTTTCCCAAACCCCTATTGGATTTCTTTTAACATTACTTTTCTTTAGACTCTGATGTAGTGTTCCACTTCTAGGCAAGCAGGCATCACACTAAGCAGGCCATAGAAAATCCGCAGGACCCCTGCTACAACAGAATAAAGGCCACAAATTGTGGCATGGAGCCTGGATCATTCGGCCCATATCGTTCAGAGTATTTCATCACTTTTTATTTATTTATTTATTTATTTATTTTGAGACAATATCTCACTCTGTTGCCCAGGTGGCTGGAGTGCAGTGGCATGATCACGGCTTAGCACAGCCTCAGCCTCCTGGGCTCAAGTGATCCTCCCACCTCAGCCTCCTGAGTAGCTGCGACCAGATGTGGTATACCACATTCAGCTAATATTTTAATTTTTTTATAGAGATTCAGTCTCCTTGTGTTGCCCAGGCTGGTCTCTAACTCCTGGCTCCTGCCATCCTCCCATCTCAGCTGTCCAAAGTGTTGGAATTACAGGTACGAGCAATAATGTCTGGCTTGTTTACACAATTTTAATTCATAGATAACAATTTTAATTTGGAAGATTTTCATATACCAATTCAGATTTGCAGTTTCTCTGAAAAAAAGAAAAATGAAGGCTCTGGCAGTGCAAAGGCCAAATTCCGGCTCTTGTGACTAGACAGCTGTTTCCCCTTCCCTCTCCAGTTGGTGGAAGATGCCCCCTTCCTGACCCAGTTTACTCCCTCAAAGTGTCACCTGAGCCACAGCAGCCTCAGAGTGGGCTGCAGCCAGATTATGAGGCCTTCACTGCCACTCTCTACTTTTTCTGTGAGCTACTGGAAACCACTCAACATTTTTAGCAGAAAAGTGACTTGATACATTGAGTAGAAGAAAGAATAAAACCTAGAAGGGCAAATAAGAATCTGGTAGCTGGAGCCTGAGTCTAGCTTTGATAATGAAGCAGAGTAAAAATAGAGGCAAAGCAAGGTAAAACTGACAAGACCTGGCCAATGATTAGGAATAAATGGAAGCAATTAAAGCTCCTTCATAAAATAGGGATTTTGAGTCACTCACCCTAATGAAGTCTTAGTCATAATAAAACTTCTGTTATTCACTGAACTATACCCTTTAAAATGGTTAAGAGGACAAATTTTGTTATGTGTATTTTAACTACAATTTAAAAAAAAATCCATTATTCAGCAGGGCCAGCTAGCTATGATCATAAGTAGATTTTGAGATATTAAAAGATCATTACCCAAAGTCAGGCTAGCAGTAAATATAAATAGGGGCCAATGGCGGGTTGTGTGGCACACTTACCCGTGGGAAGCAGGAGCGGCAAGAGCGGAGAGTTAGAAAAATGAAGAGGACAGTGTTCACAGAACACACCAAGAGTAGCATTTCAAGAAATCAGAGTAAAATGATTAAAGTCAAACAAAATACAATGAACTAGAAGAATAGTAAGTCTTCAGAGAATACTCAAGGTCAAGTTTCTTTGAAAATAAATAAAACAATAGACAGAAACATTTCTGGAATATCATCATTATTTCCAGATATGACTATCTACCGGAAAACACAGACACTAGAACTATAATGGAGTTCTGAAAAGAATTTTAATTTAAAAAATATATATCCTCTAATAATTCCCTTATACCAAAATGGTCCTGTCAAAAACATGGACTCTAGCATGGACAACAGAGACCCTGTCCCTATTTTTTTAAATGTTTTTAATATGATGGTAAAATTTCATTTGTAATATTTCTTTTCTTTTCTTTTCTTTTCTTTCTGAGATGGAGCTTCACTCTTGTTGCCCAGGCTGGAGTGCAAGGGTACTATCTCGGCTTACCTCCACCTCCCAGGTTCAAGCGATTCTCCTGCCTCAGCCTCCCGAGTGGCCGGAATTACAGGCACCCGCCACCATGCCCAGTTAATTTTTTGAATTTTTAGTAGAGATGGGGTTTCACTATATTGGCCAGGCTGGCTTGCATTCCTGACAGTAGGTGATCCATCCACCTCTGCCTCCCAAACTGCTGGGATCACGGGCAAGAGCCACCGTGCCCAGCCCATTTGTAATATTTTTTAAAGTAAGTATCTAGGCATAAACCTAAAAAAAAAATGTACTGAAATTACTTGATTGCATTTTTAAATTCTACTGAAGGACATTAAAGAAAGATTCAACTAAATAGAAAGTTGATGTTCCATGATGGAAAGACCAAATATTTTAATTGTATTAGGGTTTCCCAAAATACTGTATTGGTTCCATGCCAATGCAAACATCTGAAAATGATATTTTGAACTTTGAAAAGTAATTTTGAATTCATTTGAAGTAACAGGTTGGATTAGGCAAAAGAAAGAAAGAAAGAAAGAAAGAAAGAAAGAAAGAAAGAAAGAAAAACAGAAATGAGGGAACACTTGTCTCTCAATGAGGAGCAACCAGATAAATAAAACGTTTACAGATATAAGAATTAGAACTGAAAAACTGCTGCTAAAATCAGTAGCTACACTGAGAAAGTGAAAAAAAAAGATTAAAAATTATATTTGCTATAAAATAAAGGCAGCATTAAATTGATGATAAAAGAAATTTTTAATAAATTGTGCTGAGACAGCTGGACAACCATTTGGTGCATTTTTTGATCTATTTCATGTCATGTACCCAAATAAATCCAGATGGACATAAAACTTAAATGTGGTCCGGGTCGCCGCCGGCAGTCGCCTCCCCGCGCGATGAAGACACTGAGGCCCAGAGAGGTCAAGTGACTCAGCCAAGGTCAAAGAGCTCTCTAGGAGCCATGTCCACTTTGTTCCCCTCACTCCTCCCTCGTGTGACTGAGACACTGTGGTTTAATCTGGATCGACCCTGTGTGGAAGGGACAGAGCTGCAGCAGCAGGAACAGCAGCATCAGGCCTGGCTCCAAAGCATCGCAGAGAAAGACAACAACCTGGTTCCTATTGGCAAGCCAGCATCAGAGCACTATGATGACGAGGAAGGAGAAGATGATGAAGACGATCAGGATAGTGAAGAGGACTCAGAGGATGATGAGAACATGCAGGACATGGACGAGATGAATGACTACAATGAGTTGTCAATGAGGTAGACATGGAAGGCAACGAACAGGATCAGGACCAGTGGATGATCTAGGTAGACAAGGCAGGGTGGCCTCAGGGAGATTCTAGGCTAGCCCAACCTACCCTGCATCCCAACCCCCAACCCCTGACCACAGAACCAGCTGATGGCCCCAGTGCCTGAAAGTGCCCTTGGGTACCTCCTCAGTTGCTGGTGTCCTTGGCCTCTCCCAGGCCATCAGTCTGCACTTGAAATCCCCAGGACCTGAGCCCCACTTCACCTTCCTGGCCGGTACCTCACCCCTTCGTTGCCAGGTCTGGTTTCTTTCTAAGTTTCTTTAATAAAGACAAAGGAGTGATTTCCACCCCCGCCCCACACCAAAACAAAACAAAACAAAACAAAACAAAAACCTAAATGTGGAAAATATATTTTTATTTTACTTTGCTTTTTTTTTTTTTTTGACAGTCTCATTCTGTCACCCAGGCTGGAGTTCAGTGGGGAGATCTCGGCTCACTGGAACCTTCCTCTACCTCCTGGGTTAAAGAGAGTCTCATGTCTCAGCCTCCCAAGTAGCTGGGATTAAAGGCACACACCACCACACCCTAATTTTTTGCATTTTTAGTAGAGACAGGGCTTCACCATGTTGCCCAGGCTGGTCTCAAACTCCTGAGCTCAGGCAATCTGCCCGCCTCAGTCTCCCAAAGTGTTAGGATTATAGGTGTGAGCCACCATGCCCAGCATTTACTTTGCATTTTTATCACTTATCTACATTTCTTAGTTGGACTCATATCAATTCATGAAAGAATTATCTTTACAATTTTAATTATTCATTTATAATGATGTTTGACTAGTATGAAGAAAATATCCTGTTTTTCCTCCAAATATAGTCCTATTGCTTTTAACTGAAGACCCTGCTACATGAAGAGCTCATCATATCTGGGAATCAGTAGGCTTTGTTTCTTTACCTAGCTCCACCACTGACTTGACCTTGGACAATTCAATGTTATCCATCCAAAGGATTCATATTAAAAAGTGAAAATAATCTGCTGCCAGTTTTCCAGGTCATAAGATATGGACATTAGAAAATATTTCTAAAGCCCTTAAGAAAGTTTCCCTACTTTAAAAAATGCTGTATAATCCTTCCCCCCCACCCCGTAGTATTTTGGCTGTTATTGTTTGCACAGGTGGCAATATGTTCATATCAACACTATCTGCATTTCTTCCTGCAAAAGGTTGAAAGGTAGTAACTGGAACAGAGCACAGACCAGAAGTACATTAGTAACTGCTGAGAATCTGACTTGACTCTCCCACTTGCACTTCCCTTTTATTTCTTAGTTCCTGCTTTCCCACTTCTCCCAGGCATTTGGTTTGCTATTGAAGTTTAACAAGTGTTCATTGTTTAACAATTCTCAGTACATTCCCATGAGTTCTTAACAGGAAAGTTGCTCCTTCTATCTAAAATTAAACCAACAGGAAATAGAACTTCTAAATTCAACAGGAACTTCTATTGTACATTCAAGATGTGTGGTATCCCAGTGCTTCATGGGCCAGTCCATCAAAGCTAAGTGCCTTTATATTCCTACCCACTTTTACTACACAAAATAAGTAAAATAACTTTTAAATAATCATTCCTGTGAAAAAAATAGGATGTTCTCTTTCATAGGAGTAATTTACTAAGAGACACTAGTTCTAGTTTGGAGATACCAAGGGAAAAATAATATAGTTGTCTCTAAAAAAGAAAGTATTCATCTACATGATATGTCAAAGTGGCAGCTCACAAACCTGGTTGATTATGTTTACCCTACACATTAATATGGGACAGAATGCTCTTAAAATCTGTCTATACCTTTTTCTTTCTCTCCTGCCAGGAGATTCAAGGCCTGAGCACTAAAGTAGTCAGAAGGGTCAAGAACCAGCCTTTTCTTCTCTCTCACAAGGCCAGGTCAGCCATCAGAAGAAAGTTCTTCAGCCAATAATGGCTGAAGCCTCAGGGAGGCCTGCCTGCTTGAATTTGCTAGACCATTGCAGGTTGCTCTCTGGTTCTTTGCATTGCATCTGTTCCTCCTATTGGAACAGAGAATCCAAAATTCTGCTCTAGATTATAACTAAAGTAGAAATAAATGGAGCAGATTACCACATGACTTGGTTGCAAGCTGCACAAACCCCTCTCACAAAGGAAAAGCAATCCTGTATATGTTAAGCCTAACTCATCAGAGTATTACATTAGGAATGGGCCCAGAAAGTAATATGGATTACCTGACCTTGAACTCTTCCTATATGTAGTCAGATACCACACTGAGAAGGATAACTTATTAAGAACAAGATTTGGGTTCTCCTAGGTCCATAATCAAGTATCATCTCAATTGACACTTCCTAAATTTTGGGCCAATGTCCATGCCCAATGCACAGTACTAAAGTTCTAAAAGAATCTTTTTAGCCCAGGGACAATCTATCTCATTTAGTAAAATCTTCAGGCTTTCAAGGAAAATAAAAATATCCTGAAAACAATATTTGCTTTTGAAATATCAATGGGGGAAATGAGATCTGTTTGTGCCATTATTGTCATTTGTCATTACAAAATAAATATAAAAACATGTTAATAACTTTGCTAAGCGAATGAGAAAATAGTAAATCTTTTTCTATTTTTCCGCACTTTCTATAATACTTGTTTTGCTGCATTTAATCCTGCTAATATCAATAATAGTAACTACCACTTACAGATGCTCATTTAAAGGGATATAGAAAATAGAGAAAAATATATTTCTCAGGCTCAGAAGAGGTTTTTCTGTATTCAAAAGCTCACAGAAATTTTATAACTAAAAACTATAAAAAGCTATAATTTCATGAACTATTTTAGCCCTTTATAAACAGTCACCTAGAATATTCCTATATCCCTTGTGAATATGTATTTACCTTAAAAAATACATACATATAGAAATATGTAACAGCTAATGACACAAAAAAAATACTTCCCTGCCTTTTTTTTCCTCCCCATTTTCTATCTTCCCTTCTTCAACTCCCTTTAATTTCTAAAAAAATCAAAATTAAAAATAAAATGTTATGGCCAGGTGCAGTGGCTCATCTTGTAACCCCAGCACTTCAGGAAGCCAAGAAGGGAGAATTGCTTCATCCCTGGAGTTCAAGACCAACAAGAGCAACACAGGGATACCCGGTCTCTACAAAAAGTAAAAACTTAAGCAGGTGTGGTGGCACATGCCTCTGGTCTCAGTTACACAGGAGGCTGAAGTAGAAAAGTTGCCTGAGCCTGAGAGGTCGAGGCTGCAGTTACCCGTCATCGAACCACTGAACTCCAGCCTGGATGGCAGAGTAAGACTCTATCTTAAATAAAAATATTTTTTTAAATAATACATAAAAATGAAATGATGTGTGTGTGTTTAATGTTCATTGTGCTTTTGACATGTTAAAATCCTTCCTGCTCTAAGTTTCAAAAGCAATTTGTTGGAGATCCACAGGTGCATCTTACAGACCAATTCTGCACAACAGCATATAAAGTCTGGACAAAATATTTTGTTATTGACCTAAGAATTCTTAGGAGTAAACAAAAGCAAGAAGATTGTGGAGAAAGTCAACATTTGTAGAAACTTCCCTGGAGAGAAGTTTCCAGGTTTATTGTGGTTTTTCTTCAAACAGTCTCTTAATTGCAGACTGCCATAGTGCAAGCGGCAAAAACATTGATAGAAAGGCCTTCATCACTCTAGCCAGAACAATCAGGGAAAGGAGTCCAAACAACAAACATCACTGAGAAGTGAGAGAGAAATTCCAGGGGGAAGAGACCCAGAGAAGATAATCCCCAAATTATCTCTAAACCCCACGTCTCAGACTGACCTTTGATTCATGTATATGCAGGACAAACTCAAAGTAGCACAGCAAAGGCTTAAAGAGCTGAACTGAGATTTAGCTGAACTAAACCACCAACCACAGAGGAAGATAGATCTTACAGTGAGTTTAACTGACTGGTGAACTGCCTGCTAAATGAAAAACAAAAACATTCTTCAGAAAGGATATGACAGAACCCTGACTCTACATGACAAAACATTCACAATGTCCAGGATATAGTCCAAAAGTAGTTGGCATGAAAAAACTCAGAAAAATTGACTCATTCAATCTCAGAGGTAAAGATAGCCAACAGTTGTCAGTCCAGAAATGACTCAGATGTTGAGAGTATTAGGAAAGACATTAAAGCAACTGTTATAAATGTGCTCAATGAAGTAAAGGAAAATATGCTAGAGATAAGTAAAAAGAAAATCGTGGAGTGTAAATTAGTTCAACCATTGTAGAAGACAGTGTGGCAATTCCTCAAGGAAGTAGAAACAGAACTTCCATTTGACCCAGCAATTCCATTACTGGGCATATATCCAAAGGATTATAAATCATGCTATTATAAGGGCACATATATACGTATGTTCACTGTGGCACTGTTTACAATAGCAGAGACCTGGAACCAACCCAAATATCCATCGATGATAGACTGGACAAGGAAAATGTGGCATATATACACCACGGAATACTACGCAGCCACAAAAAGCAATGAGTTCCTGTCCTTTGTAGGGATATGGACGAATCTGGAAACCATCATTCTCAGCAAATTGACACAAGAACAGAAAATCAAACAGTTGCATGTTCTCACGCATAGGCAGGTGTGGAACAATGAGACATGGACACAGAGAGGAGAGCATCACACGCTGGGGTCTGTCTGGGGGGACTAGGGGAGGGACAGCAGGGGTAGGGTGGTTGGGGAGGGATAACATGGGGAGAAATGCCACATATAGGTGACAGGGGGATGGAGGCAGCAAACCACATTGCCATGTATGTACCTATGCAAAAATCCTGCATGATCTGCACATATACCCCAGAACCTAAAGTACAATTTTATATATATATAATATAATATATATATATAATATATATATAATTTATATATATATAATTATATATATATATATATATATATATATATATATGATACAGAGAAATGTGTAAAATTTAAAAAAAGAAAATCTTGGCAGAGAA